ACGAGAAATGATTAAAATGTCCTCAGTTATATTCCTAGTCAATTGCATGGGAAGTTTTAATATTTATCCACTTAATGTTTTTGCTATATGGCTCCACAACGTTCCCAAATATTGCCTGTTTCCTTAATTACATATGGTCAAATAAAGTAAAAATGCAACAATTAAAGCAAATAATCCCTTGCTTTCTTTTTGATACTGTATGGTCACGGTGGTATAGCATGTATAGTCATATATCTATGTCCTCCCTCCACCTCCTTTGTTTAGTTCCCTGGTTACGATAAACGTACACTGCTCAAGACACAACGTGTGTTGGCCACTCACATTATAAGTCTTCTAAACTTTTCTGGTGTTGCCATGGTTCTCTTTCAGAATTCTCTCGGCAAATCATTTGAGGTCGATAGAAGAAGACGCCTTTAGAAATCTAACATTACTCAAGGCCATGTAAGTTGATCAGCTTTATGGAAACACAAGATAGCAAATCGTATTTTTGTAGTGAAAGTAATAGCTCCAACTCAGCACAATTCACAAAAGACACGTCATTAGAACCTATAGCCGTGACTTAATTACTAGCGGCTGTTCGAAAAAGATCAGACCAGACTCGAGAGATCGGCGGGAATCGAACATGGACTAACTATGAAAAAAATTAACTTTACATTTAAATCATGAGGCATTGTTTTTACTGAAACTTTTTATGTATAGTACATTCAGTGAGATTAAAATGGTCTGACGAACGCAAGCCTTGCTGGTGTGTTTTAAAATCTATCATCCTAGTTCTTCGTCCATTGGTCGTTTTCAACTAATGTCATCGCCGCCATGTTGGATGATCATTAACCAGAGAATTGAAATAATATTCATATTTGGTTAGAGAACATAAAATGACGTCATGACATAAATACTTGAAACCGTAACCACATACAAAGCACAAATGCCTATTTCAAACTACCCAATCAGTACAGTCCTAGAGACAAAAAGATTCCATTTGAATTCAAATATTTAACTAAAAATACTGTGTTTTCTTTTCAGAGATCTATCAAGGAACAGCTTGAAGTCAATTCCACAAAACACTTTCCGTAATCTGAACTTACTGACATACATGCAAGTAGAGTTAATCTGATTTTTGTTACAGTCAAACTGGATCTTTGGTCACGAGCTCTTTCAATGTGCCATGTAGATTTGCTTTGCCTAACTTGCTGTACATTGTTAGTTCAACGTTAGACCCACTCTAGAGATTCGACTATTCCACAATTTGAGTCATGTCCACTCGTTTAGACTCGTCATGACGAGACGAATTTTTCTAACCTCTACCCTTTCCCGTCTAAATCACCTAAAAAGGGCGTTAATGCTAATTCTTACCCTGTGGGCAGAACTTTTCCGTGAGTCGAGTCGTGTCATCTTTGTGGACTCGTCACGATTTCCTACTCCCGTCCCCCCTCCACCTCACCTTCTAAAACCACCATAGGGCGCTTTTATAGAAGTCGACTCGGCTTAAACTTTTCTATAAGTGGAAGCACGTCGACTCGTCAGTACTTTTACTTCCTCTTTTATAAACCACAGCACTACCAGTGTGTTACGCCGGGAACATATCACTTCCTGGTTACTTGTAACCTCGAGGGAAGTAGAGTCGACGACTAGATTCTGATCTTTACGACATAACTTTCAATAAGTCGAGTCGACTACAAAGTTAGACGACTCACCTCACTTTTGGTATATTTGACAACCCTCGCTTTAGTGCAACTTCACATTGTGCATTTGAATACGCATGGTTATCCTCGTGCAATTTGGAACTGAAACAAGCACTAGTAAATTTTTCAAAGGCTAACAAAATTTCATCAGCGGGTGCAGGTTGCAGTCTGAAAGAAGTTACACGTGCTTGCTTATTCCAAAGTGCACGAGAATAATCATGCGATTACTTTTTTTGTTATCATAAACTTTATTGGTTTTCTGCACAACTAGTACTTACATGTGATTACGTGTTAATAATACACTCAAGTACAATTACTCAGGTAATTATCATAATTTTTTC